TCTTGATGGTCTCAGTGGGCCACAGCATCCCAGCCGACCAACACTAAAGGGGAACAGGCATGGAAACCCAAAGCCGGGTTCCCAGCACCAGATGGCTCAAGATGGCCAGAGAAAGAGGAAAATACTGTCCCTCGGGGAGGAGGAACAACTTAGTGATTCAAATTTATTTATTATGTAAATAGCATTAAAATAAAACAAATCTTGGAGTATAAAGTTCATTGGGGATTAAAGATTCCTTTTAGTGTGTCTAAGAACACTTAATACCAAATAGTTTTTTTTAAAAAAAAACTACAAAATAGTTCATGGAATGTTTAAAAATAATTTTAAAGCATTGTGTTTCTGTCTTGAACTCCAAAGTCCAGAATAATTAAAAATCCTCCCAAATCCAAACATGCACCAACATGCCTCCTGAGGTGGAGAATCCCATACCATACAACTTTTTCACCTATGTTATTAAAAATATTATATAAGCCACGTGTGGTGGCACACACCTCTAATCCCACTGACTTGGGAGACCGAAGCAGAAGGATCACAAAACCTAGACCAGCTCAGCAACTAGAAAAACCCTATTTCCAGATAAAGAATAAAATAAAAAATGGTTGGCAACGTAGCTCCACTGGGTTCAAACCCCAGTACTGTGAAAAAGACCTTTTTAAAAATAAAAACATAAATTTATCTTCATGTTATGTGCAAAAGACACATGAAGCAAAAATGAATTTCATGCTTAAATTGAGCTCTCATCTCTAATATATCTCAATTTTTTTAAAGAGAGAGAGAGAGAATTTTTTAATATTTATTTTTTAGTTTTCGGCAGACACAACATCTTTGTTGGTATGTGGTACTGAGGATCGAACCTGGGCCGCACGCATGCCAGGCGAGCGCGCTACCGCTTGAGCCACATCCCCAGCCCTGTATCTCATTATTTATGTATAAATATTCCAAACTCCAAAATACTTCTGAGCTTAAGCATTTTTTTTTATAAGGGATACTCAACCTGTATGAAAAATCAGGATTTGTTAGTGATACACTTGTAAAGAACTAATTGTAATAAAAATAAGAAAACTATTATAGTAACATTATTGTTATCCCATGGAAAAAGGTAGATATTAAAATGACTTATTTCAAAACTTCATAGTAAAACTTTTTCAGGTCCAGTTGGATTATATGAGGAGTTTTCAAATAAGTTTAATCTCTAAAACAAAATCTCATAAAGACTGTGAAGTTGAATGGTTTATTAGTAATGATATTAATAAACTTTTCAAGAGAGATTTCCCTCTAAATATGGGTGCTTCATTACCTTTTTTCTTTTAGCTAGATTTGAATCTGATGTTATAAATACACATAAACTATAAAGTAGCTCTAAAAATCTTACACCGAAACTATTTGACTGCTCTTCCTAGCACCAAATTCTGTTCCCTATAAGCAACTACTTTTAACTCTATTAACCATTTCTTTTCATGTTTATGTACATATTACTAAGTGAAATGTGTATATTCCTCTCATTTATTCACTGAGGGATAAGGGAGAATTTTTTTCAAGCTCTTACATCTCCCTCTGTCTTCTCCAGTTCCCCAGTATGGCTAAGTTAAATGGTTGGTTAAACCATATTTACTGTTTTGTTTTTTTATGATCATGCAAAAAGTTTTTATTTCATGTATTTATCACATTTCTTTCTAACTATGACCCCGTCTTTCCATACCTCCCAGAGTTGGTCACATGGGAATGGGATTTTGGAGCCTTTAACTTTCAACTTTGTTTCCATACGTTTGAATGCTCTGTAAGAACACCACATATGACCTTTTTAATTACTAAAAACAATGAAAATAGTTCTACTCTAGAAGAAGCGGGTCCTAAGGCTCAGATTCTGTGGCATTATGGAGCTCTTGCTTATCCACCGTGTGGAACACATTACAGATGTCTAATAAGAAATGTCAAAGAGACCAAAAACACATTCATTTAGTCTCACACAGATGGACCTTCCCTTACAAGAAACCTTCGTTTATTCAGAAAACAAAAAGTGTCCCCTCTGAGTTACTCTCCTCCCTGCATTCACTCAGTGAAGACCGATCAGACCCTTGATCTCTCAACACCGCCCTCTGCATGATGTGGGGAGGACATACAGACTGCGTCGGCCTCTGGGAAGTTTCACAGGTCACCGCGGCTGGAGACTACCCACACGTGCAAAATCGAGAGGGAAACCGAGGAGGGTGTGCAGAGCCAGGGTGGGCGAGCTGCTGAGCCACGCCGTCAACCATGATCACGGTGGAGCAGGCGCAGGCAGCAGCGGGGGAGCTTGATGGGCGTCGTGGGGCGGGGGGCTCGCTCACATGGTTTGTCAGTCAACTCCTGTCTGTGACCAAAAGAGCCGACAACAACACACCGGAGGAAACGCTGATTTGGGCTCAGGGTTTCAGAGGTTCAGTCCCTGTCTGCCCTGTTCCATTCCATTCCATCTCTGAGCCTGAGGTGAGGTAGAAAGAACATCATGGGGAAGGGCACGGGAGGTGGGGGAAAGCAGCTCAGGACCTGGCAGCCAGGAAGCAGAGGCAAGAGAAAGCTGGGCTCACCGGGGCCCAATATAACCCCCAAACACCCACTGCAGCGACCTACTTCCTCTAGCCACACCCCACCTGCCTACAGTTACAGTCCAGGTAACCCCTCTCTGTGGACTGACTAATCCATGGATTATTACAGCTTTCATGATCTGGTCTTTTCACCTGTGAACATTCTTGTGTTGTCTCCATATATGAGCTTTTGGGGACACCTCATATCTAAACCACAGGAATCAGGAAGGGCCCGTCTACCCCATGATGGACCTCCTAGCAGAAGAGCAGCCATCTATGAGGACCCATGGCTAGGCAGGCAGAGATTTACATTTTAAAACACCCTGGTCCAGTCCCTGGCACCTACTCTGGCCAGATGGGCTTCACTTCCTGCCTTGCCATTTACAAACTCTTCTAGAGGTGAATCGGGCATTTGCGGGAAAGCAGGAAGCAGGAGGCAGGAGCTTTCTGAAGTTGTACCAAGCTAACCAGAGATAGGCTTTCCATTTAGATGTTTAGCCCAGACCTCCACTTTTAAAAAAAATCTATTTCTCTTACTTCACTCGGACATTTCTTGGACGTCTCTTTTTCCCACGCACTATCCCAAGTGTTGAGAGTGTGACAAAGATAGAAAATGAGGGGTTCACGGCCACCCCCATGGTGGCAGGCATCCCACGGCAGCTGTTCTCCCAGAGCCACACAACAGGCACCAGCAAAAGTCTCATGAATGGATGGACTGCTGGAAAAATGAATAAATGAGAAGATGTTTTGAAATCCAAACAGAGAGATGTTGGGGCAGTTTCCATGTAACTATAGAAGAATCTATTACTGAGTTCTGTGACTAACACTCAAAAACTTGGCATCCCAGATGTTTCCTAAATCCACACTTAATAAATGATTATATAACACAATGAAATATTTAATATTCTTTCCTTATTTTATTACTATCCTTATATTTGCTTGGTTTTCTTGAAAAAGAGCATGAAATCTGTACTAACGCCATGACTCATAAGCCAAGGAGTCTGGACCTCATCCCCATGTCTGTACCAGAACCAGGGCTGTGTCCTACTGCAAGGACACATCTCAGCTCCTTGCAAGCACCGTCCCAGCTGCCCGGCTCCCTGGTCCTCAGGTCTTTCAGGTTTAATCCAGAGCACATCTAAATAGAACTACCAGAAAACAATGAGACTGCAAAACTCCATTTCAGTGGCATTAAGTGTGGTTTTGTGACATCAGCAACTCTTAAACAAGACTAACACTTGAACCTGCCACAGGCTTTATTACTTTCTCTAAGCAATGAGGGATTCTCTACAGACAGCCTATGGCCCTTAAGTGCTACACTGAAGTGACCTCAAATTTTTAATATGGCACCCTGCTTATTAATCCTGCTCAGATTTCATGCTTAAGCATTTGTTATTAAATTACTGTTGCAAATATGATTTATTTAGACCTAAGTATTCCAACGATTATGATGAAATGGCAGATTCTGTATCACATTTCACAAACTGAAAATGGTGCTTTCCAGTCTGGATCCGAGGCATTCAGCTCTAGAGCTCAACCTTGCAGCCCATGGTCTTGTGGAAAGCTTTGCCCTGGGGTCCCTTCGAAACTCAATGGCCTTCTGAGGCCTCCCCTGACCAGCACTGCCTCTTGTTGCTGGGTCTTGTCTGTGGACAAGAAAAAACAAACCGAGCCCAGGGCAGCGGAAAGTACAGAGGGTCCAGGTGGGAAGACCAGAGTTCAGGGGCCAACCTGCCACCTACCTTCCCACTGCTCAAATCCAATGGGATAAAAGGACAACAGCCAAGCCTGCCCCTCCTGGCCAAGTGAAGACACAAAAGCTAAACCTCGGGGATCGACAAGGTCCTACCTGGGGGAAGCTGGGCATTGCAAGGAGAGCCTCCTGCAGGATTTAGACCACAGCAGCACTGCGGCCGACTCGGCTCCTCTGGACTCTCATGCTCTATCTCCTTGGGCCTTAGCTCTGGCCACACTTGCCTTTCACAAAGGTGGGGTTTTACAACACCCAACAGAGCCCTAGCTCACATCCGAGGTAAGGAGTGACCTTGGGTTGTTGCTTATCTGTCCTCTAAGTCATGGACTACTCTTTTATTCCGACATCCTTGAAGAAAGAAAGGTGTTGCTACAGGTTGCGTGTCCCTGATCTGAAAATCTGAAATGCTCCAAAATCTGAAAATTTTTTAGCATCAACAGGTGCAAGATCCCACCCCTGACTTTACGTGACGGGTCACAGTCAAGAGCAGGACACTAAAGGTATTGTATAAAGTTAATGTCAGGCTACAGTTTTAGGTGTATAGGAGTCATGAATGAATTTCACGTTTGCTTGAGCTTGGGTCCCATCCCCAAGGCACTGCATCACATATGTGCAAATATTCTAAAATCGGAAAAGAATTGGTCCCAAGTACTTTGGATAAGGAACACTCCAGCTCGGCTGCATGGCATTTCTCTGAGGTCTTTTTATTACTTAGCAATGGTGCACCAAGCCCTGGAGCCTGAGTTAAGTGATTTGGTGGCCCAACAGAAGCCGGGGACGGTGTTCTTTTCCCAATGCAGCGCTCCCCCTGTGCAGGGGCCGAGGGTCGCTGGAATATCTAGATCTCTGTTAACATCTGTGTTTTAGAAGAGGGGGAAGTAATTCCTAGAAAATATGCTGAGGGCCAGCTGCGTCTGTTATGTGCTCATGTTGCTCTTCAAGGGGAGATCACGGCAAAAGGCCTCTAGGAGACAGAATGTGGCGATCAGGAGGCCACTCAGGTGGCCGAGGGCGGAGACAAAGGGAGAAGCCGAGGGCACCGCTGGAGGGTGAGGAGGGGCAGTGGCGAGGCTGTCCTGGCTGCTCATTGACAACTCAGTATTGTCCCTGTCCCCATTGTAGGCAAGGCTCTTTGCTTTGGTTATGAATGAGACATTGAGGGAATGTTTTCAAAGATATTAGAAGTCCAAAGGAGCAAACTAGGTGACTATCAATGTCCCTTGTAATCCTTTTGTGTGATGACATTTTGTTTAAATGTGCCACCCAGACTCACTGTGTCTTGGGGATGTCTACTTGGAGTGCTGCCCACTGCCCTGGCCCACGCAGGGCTGGAGAGCTGACAGGAGGCACTGCTTCTCTCTGCATTCCCAGGGGTCAGGCAGGAATGATCACCAGCAGGCGCCAGTCTGCACAAGGGAGCCCATCTCTGCAGCTTTCTGTCCTCCAACTGGACGGCATGCGATGGTCGGCTGCCAGGCTCTCCCGGCAGCCATCCCAGTGGGACAGTGAGATCCTATTAACAGCGCTACCTTTGGGGGTATCATTTACAGTAAGGAAGAACAAACAAGAGCCTGTGCCTGCAGAGCAGCCACTCGGAGCTTGCAATGAAGACTTGGAGTGCCATGTCTGGTGGGGCCGTTCGCCGAGTGGAGGAGAGTTCGCTGCTATCGGAACCAGTGCTGTGGTCTGCACACGGGAGGGCCACCTAAACCTTGGGGAAGAGTTCGGCCCCCCATCCTGGGTTCACTAGAACAAAGTACATTTCTTCTTTTAAAAAAAATTTGTAGTTGTTGATGGACTTTTATTCTATTCAGTTATTTATATGTGGTGCTGAGAATTGAACCCAGTGCCTCACACATGCTAGGCGAGCACTCTAACCACTGAGCCCCAGCCCAAGTGCATTTATTCTGCACTCAGTTCTGTGTCCGCAGTGGGGAGATGGGTTGCGTGGGGGTCTGTAGTAGGAACTGCACTGTCTGGGATCAATGGACACCAGGGATGGCCAGGTCCAGGGTTTGCCAGGCAGGAGTCAGGTGGTCAAGGGAGGAGTGGACCAATAACAGAGACGGGGGATCAGGGGGTGGGACGCACAGGGAGGGTGGACAATGACCGTTAATCTTGTGAAATAAGCTGACCTGGCCACAGACTCGCTAGCTGTCACTCTTTCCACTTATCCTCAAACAGCCCTGGGAAGCAGGCGAGGCCTCTCTCTCCTAGATGGCAAGCCCAGGCACAGTGAGTGAGTGGACTACCCCGGGGCCACAGCGGGGAGGTCTAAGCACATCAACCTGCCTCACTCCAGCGACCTGCTCACAGTCTCCTCGGGGTACTGCAGCTTCGCCTGCCTGGCGGCTCCTCTGCACCATTTAAAAGTGAATTCTGTTGACTGATGTGGTGATGTAGTAAGGAATTCCTTCCCTCCGCCTACTGCTCAGGTGCTGTGGAAGGATCTTACGTGGTGGAAATGACTGCGTAGGTCGACTTTTTATGCTTCGTCCTAAATGCAGACACCTTAAAGGACAGGCGTCCCCTGAGAAATTGTCCACCTGGGGGAATTAGTCTCCAGGAGACTTTTATGGCTCTCATTCTCTCCCTTTTTAAAATTCTCCCCAACTGTGAAGGAAAGGAAATAAAAAATAAATGTCATGCTGCACATGAAATATCAAGTGCCTTCTTTCTGCTGGGGGGCATTTTGGCAAATGATTTCAACCTTCCTTCTAGCTCCTTGGGAGAGCTAAGACCAAAGTGCCGACTCGCAGGTGCTGGGGCACCCTGGCATAACTCTGTGGTCTGCGTGCCAGAGCTGGGGACCTATGCAGCCACCACCACCACCTGAGGAGGGGGAGGAGAGAGCTGGGTCGATGCGGTGGGATGCCCTGGCTGGGAGACCCCCCGCCCGAGGCAGCGCTGCTGCTCTGCTCTGGGGGTGGTGTCGAAGCTCCTACCCTTGGCCACTTTGAATGACCTCAAAGTCAGGAAGGGGCAGGCTGAGGGATGGGCGCCCAGGGGGGCGTGTTCCAGCACCCCCTGGTGCAGAGGCGCTCTGGCCCAGTTCTCGGGTGAGCTCAGTTCAGAGCCTCATGTTCTGCGGGGTCCAGGGTAGATGGCACATGGCAGTCATGCTCTGCCCCGTGTCCTGATAACATCCCAGCCTTGTCATTCCTGCTAATGACAGGGGCACCTGGCGTGGGACAGGCAGCTGAGGAGAAAGTCCACCCGGTTTAGCTCAGAGAGTGCTTAGCGCCAATCAGACACACCAGGGGCCTGCAGAGAGCAGGTGTTTGTCCCAAGGAGACCTCATCTGGAAGGCCCTGTGAAGGGCCCCACCCATGACAAGAGCCGGTGGCACTCTGATGGGTTCTTGCTCTTCGTTGTCCTCTTCCTCCTCTCAACACAGTCCCCTGTCACTCACCACCCAGTTTCTTTCCTCCGATTAGTCTGGCTCATAAGGAAAAGATCTGTTGGGAGCGGATGCTAAGGCCCAAGGTGACTCGTGTGCGGTCGATAAGCCAAAGCGAAGCCCCCAAGTTCCCATGGGAACTTCTCTGTTGGGCTAGGCATGTACCCCTGAGTGTGTACAATTGTGATGTCTTGGTGACATCACAATTGAAAGGCCCTTGGGGACTGAGTGTGGCCTCCTGCGGTCACCCAGACACAAGGTGTGCACTGGCCCACTTCTCTCCCCACTCCACAGCAGGCCTCGCAGACGGTCCCTCTGCCTGTCATCCATGGTCCTTTAAACCAGTATGTGCCAGGCACTCTGCTGGGTGCTGAAGGAAAAGCAACGACCCGGCCAGCGTGGGGACTTGTGACTTGATGTCAAGAACACTCCGAGCTCCCAAATTCTAAATTCAGGGAACTTTACCAATCACAGGTCTCTTCTGTAATGTAATTATTTTTCTTTTGTTTGACCTTATGACATGTCTTTGTATACCTTTTGATTCTTTCCTCTTGTCTTTGGAATTCTTTTTTTTTTTCAACCTGCATTTTAATTTTTCTGTTAAAATTTTATCATTCATCATTGATCCTTCCCTCATCTGTCTCTGCATCCATCCTCCCTATCCGTCCATCATGTCACCTATCCCTCTGTTATCCATCCATCCATCCACCCATCATCCATCATCCGTCTGCTGTCTCTCCGTCTGTGATCCACAGCCCCGTCATGACCTGATCTTGGCACCGGGGCAGTATGAGCTCTGCTGCACAAAGGTCCCTGCTGCCAAGGAGCTCAGCCTAGAGAGGGGGAGTCGGGAGAATGTGAGGAGAGTTGAGGTGCTCTGAGGAGGGAGCCCTGGATTTTCTCAAGGAATTAAGGGAGGCCCTGCACCCCAAGTGGCATAGAGAAGGATCACAAGGAGAGGGGTCCCAGGCAAGGGAAGGCAGTGGGTGTAGAGACGGCAGGGACAGTGCACGGAAGGCACTAACGCAGGAAGGAGCACGGGCAGCCATGGAACAGAAGGAGGGGCAGCAGGCGCTGCATGGTGGGGGTGGCGATGGGGTAGGAAGGACGAGTTGTCATAAGAGTGTTCAGGCCTCCAAGGCCAGCGTCCCTCCAGCGCCAGCCTGGCTTCTTCTCCGTCCTCTCCTGGTCTCATCACAGCAATGGCAGCCGCTCTGGCTCCTGCACTTGCTGAGACTAAGGGTCGTGGCTAATTTTCAAGTTGGTCAAGTTGCTGCGTGTGCATGGCCTTGTCCCCTCCTTCCAGTAGCCATGAGTAGATGCTCTTATTTTTCTCCCTTCAGATGACAAAGCAGGACGGGCAGCCAACACTGCTGCCCGAGTCCGCCCTGGGAAGGCGCACTGTGGAGTGCACGCTTTCAACCCCACACTCGTGCTCCACTCGAGCTCCAATCTCTGCATGGCCTTCCAGACGTCCAGCTGCTCTCCCACGTTAGGCTGACCCTCCTGCAGAAGCTTCCAGAAGATGGCCCTGCAGGGATCCCCAGTGCTCTGACTGCCCTGGCCATCTAGGGGTTGGTTCACTCTGTGCTCAGGCATGGCTCCCACGCAGTCCTTAGGCCCCTGTAGGTCTTTGCCACTCTACTGAGGTGGACTCTGATGGCACAGCATCCTAAAGTGACTGTGAGCCCACTCTTCCAAGTGGCTGCCAGATGGGCACTGAGGGCCCATTCTTGCTTCTCCCATGGCTGAGCCATGTCCTCGAGGCAAACGCTCTGCTGTCACTCCAGCCTCCTTGGGTTGAGGCAGAAGGGACTGGCAGATGGCAGGGGGAGGGGCCACGATGTGACACCAGGTCAGCAGGCCCAAACCTCAGGGTGGAGAGTCTGGTCTTGGTAGCAGCAGGAGCCTGTAAAGGCCTTGAGAAGAGCCTTCACCTGGCTTATCTTCCACTGTCCAGCTGTTGAGTGGGATCTGATGGGTGGCCCAAGGGGAGCCTGGGGGTCAGGAGGCCACTCTGCAAGTCCAGATGGAACATGGTGCTGGCTTGGCCTGGATGAGGGCAGGGACCCAGAGGATGGAGGGAGATGGACAGACAGGAGACGGACACAGGTACAGGCCTCAGGGAGGACTCGAGCATTCTGGTCGAGCCACATTGTGACGCTCTGTCCTTCTGTGGTGGGGCAGAGGGGCCAGTAGGAGGACAAAATGCAAGGGTCCCCAGGTGAGATGCCGAAGAAGTTCCCACCATGCAGAATGCAGTGAATACCAGCGGGACCTCGGGTTTGAGAGGCTGGAACTCGGGAACTGGCGAGCTCAGGGTTGAATCTTGGCTCTGCATCTTTTAAAGTTCTGAACAATTCGATGACTTGCTTTTTCCATCTTAAAAAATGGTGATAGCTTTTTTGTGGTTATTATGAGAATTATATGAGTTAACAGATATATAAGGTATTCAAACTTCGTCTGGTCCATAGTTTAAAAAAAAAAAAGGCACCAAAAGATGGTAAGTATTGATATTATCCACAGACGCACACTGAACTCCCTCATGACAAATGATCCCTGTCCTGGGAGCCAGGGGACATAGGTGGCAGGCTAACGTTCTGTTGGAAGAACACACTCTTGTTTAGAAGATCACCCTTCCGCTACTCCTGCTACAGCGGATGACCCTGTAACCACGGGTAGAGACTGTCAGGACGCCCAGAGGAACATGCCCTAGGAATCTGTCTATAGCCACCAATGCCACTTACAAAATCTCTATTTTGTATTCCAGTGATATGATTCTCTCTGGGAGACTGCCCTCCACCCCGGGTTGAGCACACAAGTTCTGAAGTGCTAATGGAATCTTTGAAAAGATCCAATTTAAGCAAGGAGGCAGTGGCATTTTATAAAATGGGCCCAAATCTCATTTGCACATGGAACTGGTTCTCCACAGTGGCCGCGCATCTTGACTGGTCTTCAGCTGCGGCTTCTCCCATGCAAATTAGAGAGAGACAGAGACACTCAGCCAAAGGCAGGATAGGCACAGTTGGCCAAAGGAATACTGTGGTGGGTTATTTAAATTAAAACAAATAAATAAAAGACCAAGCATATGCAATGAGCATGACTAAGCAGATGATTCCAGGAGACCACGAACTCAGGTGACCCGTGTGACCAAGGGCTCTGGTTAATGTGCAAAGTCTGCAGTCTGGTGACAACAAAGGAGAGACTCAATCTGATTCTGGTCACAAATTAGATGCACTGGAGCACACAAGAAGAGTAGGGGCTTGAATGTGAGGCAGCCCAGGGAACCCGTGAATCTTCCCGAAGACAAAGCAACAAAAACAGCATTAACACCACCTTTAAAATGCACGGGAAAGGCCAGACGGGGAACCAGCCTCGAGGGATGGATTTGGGAATGGGGTAGGGACGATGCTGACGTGTGCACCCGGAGTACTTGAGATGAGTGTACCTCTTCCTGGGGAATTCACACTTGTGAACTAGGGAGGCTGCCATTTCACAAACACTCCAGGTGCTCATCAGAAGATAGCGGAAAACAATCAAAAAGAGAAACTCTGTGAACATCGTGCCTTACGTGAGGCAATGTTAAATCCAACCTTGGAGTGTCCCAGTTTTAAATGACGAAATGTCTCCTGTCGCACACCTGACAAGAGCCCCACATGCGTGGGGGACGGAGCTCTCTGGAGCTGCTAGCGCTCTGTATGAAGACAGAGAGGAAGGCTTGAGGCTTCCCAGACCATCCTAGGCCAAGGGGGAAGGGGAGGCTGGATGGGGTTTAAGCAGTGTTTCTCACACGTGGAGAAAAACTCTGATTCTCAGACTCCCCCAGTGTGGACGTGAATTATTTCTAATACCATTTAAATGTGTGCAAGTGTAAAACAGGCCTAAACAGATGCTCCTAGCACTTACGTCAATCAAATTTACAAATGAAATACAAAGTCAGCTACAACCGTCCCCCACCCCCGTAAACTCGGTTGAACAACATTAGTTTAGCCTAATGATGATGCAGTTTTGTTGAAACAAAAGTTCTCACATTAAATTTCAGAGAAAAAAACATGCAGCCCTGTCCCCAGTTCTACATTGAATGCTTCTGTGTTTGATTTTAATGAAACACTGTGCAGGTCTGTTTGCACACTTATATAACAGAATGGTATGAAAGTTCTTAGAACAGGACAATCAGCTTCCTATAAGACTGCTAGTAAGCAGTCTTTGAATGACTGTGGCAATGAGGTAGCATTGATAACTGTCATTTGATGCTAAGACAGCATGTTCATAGTGTTAAAAATGTGCACAGGTTATGTATCACCTTAAATACTGTTCTCATTTACATGAGGAATCTGAAAAAGTCAAATTCATAGGAACAGAAAGTAGAATGGTGGTCACCAACGGTTCAGGGAGGAGGGTTGGGGACATGTTGATCCAAGGACATCACATTTCAGTTAGATAAGAGGGACGGGGTCAAGAGATCTGTTGTACAACTTGGTGACTACAATTAACCACAATGCATCGTGTTCTTGGCAGCTGCTGAGAGAGATTTTAAGTGTCTTCCAAACAAACAAAACAAAAAATTAAATGTGTGAAGCCAATTAGCTTGCCATGGCCATTCTGTGCCATTCTGTTTCAAAACAACAAGAACATGGCAAATATATACAATTTTCATTTATCAATTAAAATAAATTGATAAATGTTTTAAAATCTGCATTAATGATGTCTCAATCTTAAATATTGTTGATCTCCTGGAAAAATGTTTTTTAACTTTTTTTTTCCCTTCTATTTATGAGATAGACTCTTGGGAACTGATACCTAACAGACAGCGGTCATGAAACTGTTAAGAATAAATGATCTAAAGCTTGGAGATAAGGAAGAAGTTGACTGTGAACACTGGTAAAGCCCCCAGAGCACCATCCGGCCTGCACTGCAGCCACCTGGGTGAGGACAGCAGGGTCAGTGAGCTGCCACTGGAGACCTGACTCTTGAAAATAAAGCTTTCTAGGACACAACCACTTATGAATCATTCAGGCCACTTTTGTGCTTCGACGGTAGAGATGAGTCATGGGACAGAGACTCTGGGGCCTGCAAAGACCAAGACATGTAATACTTTCCCTGTTGCAGAAAAGGCTTGCAGACCCTTGTGCTAGATGCTAAATGGGCTGACTTGCCATTTGCTATTGATTACAGACCAGATTCTGTAAAGTTAGAGGCTAACTTGTAGAAGACTGATAAGCTGCCCGTGATTTCTGACAAAGTTACGATTTTACTGTTTCCCTGCTTCACCTCCCAGTCAGCCCACAGCTTGTCCTTCCCTGTTCTCCTCTGAGCTGGCCTAGTCCTCCTGCTGGGGACCTGGCCCATGAGCTGGATAAGCCTCTGACAGACTCTGGCTACATCTTTGTATGAATCATGATTTTTAATACTCTGGAATTTCCACTGAAATACATAATGTATTTGCTTACATTTGATCAATGAGGACACATTTACTGAGCAACTTTGATTGGCTCTCTGGCCTGCAGAGCCCTTTCTGTAGAGAAGCATTAGGTTAGACGCTATGTGGAACTTGAGAGTGAACCGGGGTGGGCAGGGCCGTGTGAAACAGAACCTGTCAGCTCAAGCCTTGCTAAAGCACTGGGCTTGGAAGCTCGGGATGCATTTGCAGGGTGAATGCCAGACAACAGGAACAGGATGGTTGTTGCAGGTACTGGTTGGTGAAATGGTGAGCAAGTGAAGTTTTCTTCCTTTACTTTCTACATTTTCTATGAAGTTTCTGTTTGTTACTTCTTGTAAATTGATGAAGAAGAGTGACGGCTAATTTTACAAAAATTAGGTCCAGGCCGAGAAGGCCTTGCTCACTGTGTGGGTGTTTATGCATCATTGGTATCCCCAATTAATCAATGAACTTGGACATTTGCTCATTCATTTAAAAAATACGTGCTGACTATCTGCTGTCCTAGACATGGTCCTGGGCACAGGAATACAGTCGTGGACCACAACTCAGGGGTCTATCACTGTGCAGTTTCACTGTGTTCGCAGAGGCAGACAAACACAGTGAACTGAGCCTGTCAAAACTTAGAGGAGAAGGTACTGTAAGGCCACCAGGGAGCACAGGCCGGGCTGAGAGGGTCACCCTTCTACGTGGTAGGATCAGAGACACTCAAACATCTGATTGGAGACCCAAGGAATGAGCTGGGAGACTATCGAGGGCAAGATGGGTTTGCCCTGAGCAAGGTGGGAAGACCTTGGAGGGTTGGGAGCGCAGGCCAGAGAGAGCTGATGGGTGTCTTACAGGGACACGTGGTCCAGCCAGGGAGGATGGTGACTTCCATCAGTGAGGATGTGGTGCCAGGGGGACAGGTGTAGGTCCTGATGCTTGTAAGGTTGGCCTGATAGGTGTCACGGTTGGGCTGTGTTTCGTGGTCAGCAATAACAGAAAACCAGGGATAATCCCAACTGTCGGCCTTGGTGGGTAAGTGACCTGGAGTGCTTCTTACTGAGATGGAGGAGCTCACAGGTGGAGCAGTGCGGAGAAGTAAGAATTGTATTTGGGATGGAAGTTAGGGCGCCTTCCCTTAGGGAGGGCTCTCTTGAACTGAGTGAGTGGACAGCCCCGAGTGGACAGCCTCCTGAGAGGGAGAAGGGAAGGGGTGGGCTGGGTACTAGAGAGGGAAGAGAGCCTGCCGGCCGTAGGGCACAAGGTAGGGAGGAAGCCAGGCAGGCACAAGCCGAGGAGCAGCAGGAAAGCTCTCCGGGCCTGCGTACCTGGAGGAGGGCCTGCATCTGGTGGGCTCAGCCTGCCAGAGGTCACAGTGCCTTCCAAGGCTGCTGGAAGGGGTGGAGAAGGGCTGGGGTTCATCCCTCTCCCATGACGTCACTTGATCGGAATGCACATCACTGATCTGTGAGAGCATGAAGATGCAAACCAGGGCCCCCTCGCACGTCGGCCAGCTCTGAATCAAGACCCGCAGCCGTGATGAGGACCAGACCTGCTCAGGTGGCTCTGCGGCCCTCCCTGGCCAGCTCCCACCCCAGAGCCGGCTGAGTCACTGCTGGCAGATGCCCGTGATCTCTAGCACCCGCAGACACATTTCACAGATTTAACTTCAGCCCTGCCAGGGCAGAGGAGAAGTCACACTACCTGGAGGGGGTCTGATGAAGTGTCAGATGACAGAATTGATATGCCAGGAGAAGGGGTGGGAGCGCCCCGGCGAGTTCCCTCTCTCAATGCCACAGCGGTTCCCAGCCCTGAAAGGGAGCCATCAGGCGGGGGCCAGATGTTCCGCGTCGCGCTGGCTCTCGCAGTGAAATATCTGCCATCTGGTTTGCGGAGGCAAGATGTGCTGCCCGGGCCAGTGCGGCCTCTATCTGCATGTTAATCCTGCTGCTCCTGTTTCCTCCCACCCCAGCCCGTGGGTGCAGGAATTACTGCCTACACCTCTACCTTAGGGCCCAGGGCCTGGCATCTGTCCCTGCAAAGCAAATGAATGGCCCATGAGAAACAAACTCAGTTTTGTCTCAAGGTACGTCTGGGCTTAACCCTGACAATATGCTCTTTCAATTCTATTTTTCTTCAAACCCCACCAAATTTCATGTGTATTTATGAATATACGATTACTGCCAAATTCCTGGCGCTTTATTCATATTCTGAACTCCCAGCTGTGGTGAGAAAAGAGGAGAACGTTCTTCAGGAGGGGAAGAAATGACTTTTCCCAGGATATCAGAAATGCATGACCACATATCTGGTATCAAAGAGGAAGGAAGCAGGTCTGTAGCAGGCAGAGCTTTCCTTCTGGGGAACTGGAGCCTTTGTACCTCTGGGCTCCAGGAAGAGGGATGTTATGGAGCGCGTCCTCAGTCTCACTTTTAAAAATCCCTCAAAAGTGTGGGTTTGGACTCCCAAATACTCCACTACACTCATGCTAACTGAACGAAGGCTTGGTGTAGGGCAACCATCTGGATAACTCAGTAAAGCATAAGAGAAGGTGAGTTCAAGGATGCAGACCTGTGGCGATGTGAGGCATCACGGGTAAATCCCCACCTGACCCCCAGCAAGGGAGGCAGGACGAGTGTCCTGGCTGAAACGGCCGTGTCTGCGTCACACCCACGTCATGGCTACCTGCTGGGCGTGGGCAGCCAGCCAGTCTCCCTGGGAACTGCTCAGGACTCCAATGGTGCCATTAAGGGCCTCCTGGCTTCCAGGAGACGTGCTGGTACTCCACCATGGTGCCCACAGTGCCCACGGGATGCCAGGGGGGTGCAGCTACGTCCTGCCACAAGCCTGCTCCCCACCAGCTATAGAGGCTGCCCTGCCACCACCCACTCCCCTGCTTTCCAGGCTTCTACCTGCCATGGGTGGCTGGGCTTCATGTGGCCCGGCGTTAGTGGGAAGCCACCACCACGTGCTGCGGGTTGTTTCCTGACCCAGGTCTCAAGGAGCTGAAACCAGGTTTTCACTGGTAGACTTCAGTGAGTTAGTTTTCCACTAAATCAGCGAAAAACAAATAGACGTTTAAGGTCGTAAGTAAAATACTAAAAAATAAATAAACAGAACGTTTCCTCACATGTCAACAACGTTCTCTAATAATGGGGCAATGAGGACGCTTTTGTTTAAGATAAGTGTGCCCCTCGCTCTCTGAGGTCATGCACGATCTGGAAACAAGAGTCAGTGTTTGTTCTACAAACAAATGTAGGTAGTAATTATCTGATCAAAGCAACAATCTTTGTTCAAATAACTGGCTAATAAAAACAAGATGTCCACTAGCTACACTCAACAGAGCGTTCCCCAGGCCATATGTGGTTCGGGAATGGGGCCTTCAACAGGCATTGTGATCTGTAGAATCTACTCGCAGTGGAAGGACGGTGACCTACATGGTTGTTGGCAGACCACTGTCCCCTAGAAGATGTGCCTTGACATTCATTGCTCTGGTGGTTAGAATGTCCCACTGGTCGGCGTTTCCTTGCAGGGCCCCTCCTGAGCCACGGTGACATGCAGCAGGTGAAAGCTGTTGATCTTGGGGAGAAGAGCAGTCACCCAGGGCCAAGATAGGGGGCAGCAGGGGAAGCAGGAAGAGTCCTCAGCTACCCCGAAGCTCATGTCTCTGAGGGCTGACGGGCACCAGCCTGGTCACCATGTGGTTGACCCTCCCAGGATCAGACACCTGAAGATTCACCAGAGATTCCAGGGAGAGTGTCAACACTCCAGAAGTTCCCGTTCTAACTGTGAAGATGAAATCCAATAGGAACCAGCACCAGTGGAAGTGGGGGCGTGGAGGGTTAAGAACCAGAATTCTGGAGCCAGAAAAATCAGCATGACTCCCAGCTCTGTCTCTCACCAGTGTGTGAGATCTTGGACGAGGCATTTACCTCTCTTAGCTGCATATCCCGACCTACGATGCCAGGACCCCACGGTGCCTACATCGAGGTGCTGCCGTGGGACTTGACAGGTATGACGTGTGCCCAGCACTCAGTTACAGAGCTGTGTGCTTTCTCCATGGATGTCAGCTATGCACGGCCCAGGGACGTCAGCATGGAAGGAGCACCAGACGGTAGCACCATGTGGTACAGAAATCAGAGGAGAGAAAGGTCCCAGCAGGCTGAGGCCCTCCAGACCCCAAAGAAAGAGAGCCAGGGTGTGGCTTGCGGTGTGGCTTGGAGAGCTGCTAGTACTTAGATTTGAGTGGTGGGGGACAGGGAGGTGGCAGTTAATTTACAATAACAAGGGCACTGTGAGCAAAGATACAGATATGGAGAATGCCCCTAGAATGTTCTAGAACAGTGTGTGGCTCAGGCTGGGCGGGGCACAGGGCTCTCTGGTGGGGCTGAGCGTGCAGCTCTGGAAAGACAGGCCTGGCTAGGCTGTGGGCATCAAGATGAAGGAGCCAGCTGCTTTCATGAGCCATGTTTCTAAGCATGGGTGGACAGGAAAAGCCACACTGGAGAAAGACCACACGGTGGAATTCTGTGGTCCAAAGAGGAACCGTCAACTTCTAGCCTCAGTACCCGTGAACGTGAC